ACAAAGGACCTTGGTAAATTGAAGTATTTCTTGGGGATAGAAGTAGCAAGGTCTAAGCATGGTATTAACTTGTGTTAGAGGAAATATGTTCTTGATTTGTTTGAAGAAATAGGTTCGTTAGGTGCTAAATCAGCTGAAACACCTATGGAAACAAACACTAAGCTGACAGTGATATGGGTGAAATTTTTGAAGACCCTGGTAGATACAGGCGACTGGTAGGTAAACTAAACTACCTAACCATCACTTGACCAAACATTTCATTCGTAGTTAGTATGGTAAGTCAAATCATGCAGAAACCTCTGGTTCCACATTGGGATGTGGTTCTAAGGATTGTGAGGTATTTAAAGGGGGCTCTTGGTCGTGGTTTGATATACAGAAGTGGTGGAAAACTTGAAATAGAAGGATATATTGATGTTGATTGGGCCGGTTCTGTATTTGATAGATCTACCACAAGCTATTACACTTTTCTTGGGGGTAATCTGGTGACATGGAAAAGCTAGAAGCAGATAGTTGTGGCAAGAAGCAGTGCAGAGGCAGAATATAAAACTATGGCACATAGTACTTGTGAACTAGTGTGGCTAAGGAACCTTCTACAGGAGATGGGATGCATCATTGATACTCCGATGAAGCTCTACTGTGACAATCAGGTTGTAGTTCATATTTCCTCTAATCTGGTGTTTCATGAGAGAACCAAGCACATAGAGGTTTATTGTCACTTTGTTAGAGAGAAGGTGCTGAGTGGAATGATAGACACTGCATATATCAACACAGGGAACCAGTGGGCAGATTTGTTTACTAAAGGATTGAGTCGGGGTAGAGTGGACTACATATGTAACAAGCTAGGATTATATGATATATACTCTCCAACTTGAGGGAGAGTGCTAGTGTCGAGTATGTAGGGGTATTTCTGTCTTGATGCTTAGGTTTAGGTGCTGATGTGTAAGTTTATGCTAGATCTAATGTCCCTAACTTCAGTAGGGGCACATGTGACTTTTCCACAATATTTTAGTAGTACAAAACAAATCTGGCCGAATGGGAGGGTTGACTTTTCTCTCATTTGAACCGGACCTTTTCCTCCTTGTCTTCTCCTCTACTCTTCTCCTTTCTCTCTTTCTCTCTTTCTCTCCTCTCTTTTCCTTGACTGTTATCAGTCTAACAGGCAGACCGAACTCTAATAACTCCTATAAGAGAGAATTTCAAACCTTCAAATGATTCAAGCTGCTCTCTTCGTTTCTTAAAATTCGTTCTGATTATATGCTGGTCTTGCAATCCTAACATAAACTGGAATCCTCAAAATATCCCCAGCTACATAAATAAAGACAAGAGGACTAAAGCTAAACTGCCAACATAAACATATATTTAAACTTAACCATAAACAAAGGAGAAAAATAATAATTTTTTTTATGGATAACAAATTTTTTTTATTGCTGAATCAAAAGAGATGTATTGACAAGCTACATGGCCCCACAAATAGGCCAAACCAACTGCTTATCCCAACAAATTTTACATAACATCTGTGTACAAAACATTTGTTTCCTAAAAACTCCTGTTTGGCCAAAGCATCAGCCATGGCATTTGCAGGTCTTTGCACCCATTGAAATGTTGCACCTAACTCCCTAATCAACCATCGGATTTCCTTAATGATTAGTCTATACTGTCACAGTGCTTGTTTGTTGTTCCTCATCCAACCAACCACTATTTTAGAATCCCCTTTAACCACAATTTCTAACATTAATCATCTTTGCCAACCTCAGTCCATGCATGACAGCCAGCAGTTATTCTCTTATTGAGTTTCCACTTCATATTGGGCCTGAAAATAGTGCTACCACCAATCCAAACTCATCTCTAATAAATTGTTACATTAATTTCAGATATATCTCATCAAGTCTCCATAGAAGCTACAATGTGGGTCCTGCATCATCACCAATGAATTTAGGGCTTTAAGCTACTGTTTTGCTTCTTATCGTGCCACTTGTGTATGGTTGCTTTTCAATTATCCATATCATATTATCAAATTAAATATGCACAGGTTGGATGCACTACATGCATAGCCAAAGGCATGTCTGATTCTTGGTGGTTGTTGAAATTGTTTCTGGAATTGTTTGATATTTTGAACGTTGGGTTTTCACATGCCTCTTTCAATGAAATGGCAGAAAATGCAAGCCTTCGCATATTTGGTCTTCCCCAACTCAGTTCTTTCAGTCCTTCCTCAAGGACCATCAAGTGTGGAAAGTGAACCCCTAGAGCATGGGATCATTACTTCTGTTACCCATGGTGTGATGTCAGGTATTTTGCACACTCAACCCCTCTCTGCATATCATTTCTATTTTCTGTTAGCTAGCTTTTATTGTAGTATTTTATGCTATGTCTGGAAATATATTTCCTATTGCAGGCTAAAACTTATTGATAAAAAAATCAGGCTAAAACTTGAGACTTTTTTCTGTGTTTAATGGGAAGATGTCATATAGGATAGGGATGCCTACAATTCGTATGAGCACTTTGTGGGTGCAAGAATTAAAGGACTGATGTAAAAGGTAGGTGAACTTTACAGAGGGTTGGATCTGAAATATGGAAGGAATGATTAAGTTAGTGATATGAGAAAGGGGGACAGGTCTAGGAAAGCTTTAGAAACGGATATTTAGGGTTCTAGAACTAAGTGATGTGAATAGAAGGTGATTCTAGGCCTCAGATTCTTGCTAAATACAGAAATCTCTAGGAAGAAAAGAGGACAGTTGCAAGAACTTAAAATATGGAGGGAATTTTGGGAAACCATTTACTGTTGAAAGGGGGTGTATGTAGGGTTGGCTGTAAAAAATGGTTGCCCAATTAGATTTTTAAGGGTTTCCTGCGTGGTTCAATTTTAAGAGAGATTTTCCAGGTTGGCTTGCCGATTGGATTGGGTGTGCATGAAAATGGGCCAAACCTGGATAATGTAGATAGTTTTATGTGAAACCCAGAAGGTTTTACTGACCTTGGTTTGAAGTTTCAATTTCCTAGGAAATTTTGCCATTTGCTAGTGGGGAAATTTTGTTCAGCTATACGAAAGTTTAAGACGATTAGATGATATTTTGCGACACTTCTCAGGGTCACCTGCAACATGTAATGGAATGCTAAGATGTTATGCAGCTTTTTTCTTCTTAATATAAAATATTTTTATTAAAAATAAAGAAAAAATGAGATCCCCCCTTCCTCTTCATCCTCCTCCTAACCCCCCTCCTCTTAAGGAGGCCTATGCCTCCTTGTGTTGGGGAGGCTTACGCCTCTTGCGTTCTGAACTACGCCTCATGCCTCTAGGTAGTGGAATGCCTTGCGTCATGCCTTTTAAAACATTGGTTTTGAATAAAATTTTCCTTCTATTATAAAAAACATAATTCTGATTAGTAGTAAAAGTTAGGTGTGTGATGCAGGATAAACCATTCAACAGAGATGGAGATTTGTTGATTTTTTTGTGGGGAGGGGGGAGGGGGTAAAGAGAGGGTAGATCTGCTAGAAACGCTGTAGTTATGTTCACGACAGAAAGTAGAAAATAAACTAGCCTCATAGTAGGGTTCTAGGATTCACTCCTAAAGGAAGAAAGCATCAACTTTTTTAAAAGGTGGAGAGAAATCCCAGTCAAGGTAAACAGGCGGTACTTCATTTTACTTTTAAAAATTATGCAATACAGAAGTATATATGGACTTGAACTAAGAAATTCCTCCATAACTATAGGCAAGTGCCATCAACAGCTTGTTGTCTCTTTTAGTCATACCTTTTACTAATCACTTGTTACTTGGAGATGATAACATGACATACACATTCACCTCCTTGTCACCTACTTAGAATGTGGTAACTGGCAACAGGATGAAATAAAAAAGAGAAATAGAATCTAAACTCTAACAAAGCTAAAGACTGACTTTTCATATCCAATGAACCCTATATAAAAAGTCAAAATACATAGAATACTCTTTTGAGATGACTCAACCACAACAAAGTATAACTAAATCACCAAAATAGATAATCTTACTAATCTAATTATAACCTTGAAACTTCATTTAGCCGTGTAAAATGCATCCTTCAAAGGTGATAAGAGTATCAAGAGGTGCCATTTATGCCTTCAAATAAATATTTACAATCTCAACAATTATTTTTGCTTCTCCTTTTGTTGGCTGCATTAGGGTGGGTGTCAGAATTATCATTAATAAGCAAACTACTCTTCTTGGAGTACATGATGTATTACATTTTGTTTCCCATAAAAAAAAAGTATTACATTTTGTTATTCCACTGTTTAACTTGATTGTGCTAAATTCTTTATTTTAGTTGACTTGGGCAATCCCACAGTTTGTTGGTGTCATGGAACTTTTTTTATGCCTTTTAAAGTGGATCATATTAGTTGGAACTAATAGGGTCAAATGTTGCATCTGCTATGTTGTAAGTTGCAGGGCCATGATAAAACTGAGAGGATGCCACTATGTCAGCATCTGTTATGTTGCACCTTGTCTATGCATGTGTTTGTCTGACTAGTCTGTATGTTTAACCAAAGGAGGAAGAAAAGATAGATGGGGAAAAGAAACTATTGGTTCCTATGTTACCTGGATTGTGGATGATGAAAAAGGACATGGCTAGACAAGGTGTCAGATATGTGAGGATAATGTAGAAGAATACCCTTTACAGTACTGAAAAGACAATTTATTTTCCACCAGGAGTGGGGGGTCCTGGAAAAGTGGAAAGAAAGATGAAAGAAGAGTGTACTATTTGATTGATTGGTTATTGCTAATGACAGTGACAATGGGCATTGAGGAGGAAGGGTAGCTTTTGTGAGGTTTTGCAGGACTTTGAAGAGGGTTGTTGTAGAGCCTGTAGGCATTATGGATTTTTCTTTTGTTGAAAAGACATGAGTTTTTAATGGCTGTAATGAATGCTTACATAATTAGAAAGAAAGAAATATAAAGAAGAGAGAAAACCCAAAATCACTGAACAGGAACCTAGAACCACTCTAGGTTTATGGAATTACTTACCATCTATGATACCCAGGTACAGATACAGACAGATAAGGATGCAGGAAATGAGAATGCAAATATGGATGCAAGTATCCATTTAATACCATTCTATCATGCATGTATATCTAGTTTTTATTCAAAATTAGACCCATCAGACATGTATAATGACCAAAGATTGGATGACATTCCCATGCCCAATTGCAAGACATCATGGCTGTTTTTTTTTTTTTTCCGGAAAAGAATAGTACTGGAAAATTGGAGAGAGATGATGCATTTTAATGGCTTTATTTTATTTTTTGGAGGGGGCGTTTTCTTTTATGTTCAATTTCAAACATCACTTCAAAGTAGATTTTTTGATGGTACCACATAGAACTTTTAACAACTAAAAAGTAGGCTTGCAATGTGACTTAAATTAAAGAAAACTCCCCTAGGATTTCATCACTTAAGAGAATATAAACCATAAAATAACAGATGTTTATGATGCTGCTTTATCTGGAAGACTAATTTTTTTAATCCATCTTGAGGCTGTATTTATGGGAACCCACAAGCTGGAATGCTTTTTCTGCAGTAGTTAAGTGTTTATTTTCTATAATCCGATATTCTGGTTTATTTCATCTTATCTGATTTATTCTATGTAACCTTAATTTGCTGACTTGGCTCTTGTCAAACTTCTGTTTTCAGTGGATGATTATCTCCACTGCCTAGAACGAGGGCGTTCTGCAAGTGCAAAAATCTCAGATTTTCTAAGGAGAAGCTTGCAATCACAACTCCCAAGTGACCGATCAAAGGCTGCATGATTAACACATAGATAAAACATGGAGTTGCACCTATATCGATCAGGAAAGTTAGAGGCAGCGAGGCTGTTGGTGCATCTTGTAACGTATAATATTTATTTGACATTTCTGGGGATGAAACTAATTTATAAGTGTCAAGTATCAACCAAACGATAGCCATGTTTATTGGCATGTAGTTCCATAGTGTTTCTGTACTCTGATAATTTGTATGAAGATTTTAGGTTTTATAGGCAGATAATTTATGAACAAAATACAACAGGTCCATTATTATAGAATTTTATATAGTAACTCAGACCAATCCCTTGTTTGAGATTTAGGTGGAATTTATTTCCAAGATTTACTTCCTGTTTCTGTTCTATATATGTGCTTCTCCCGTAAGATAGAGGAGAGAAATACCCTGTGAAAGAGAGAAGCACGGAAGTAGAATAAGTCAGGACTGACCAACTCAGAAGACCAGGGACCAATAAGCAAATGCATGTTACCTTTTCTGAAGGCTTATATTCTTCTTTTTTGTGTTGAAAGAATCGCATTTGCTTTAATGGTTGGAATGTGTGTTGGCACAACCTCAATTGAAAAGACGGGCAAATGCTTATTTGTATTCTATATATATTTTGGGGTTGGGGGTGACTCGTGCCGAAAACGCATAATACTAGAAAAACATATAAACCATTCAACGGGTGTCATAAAAGTGGTAATGAATCAGGTGTTCATAATTTTTTTTTTTTTTTGGGGGGGGGGGGTGTTGAATCTTTTGATTGTTTAAAGGTCAAAGCTCTTCCGATGCCTTGACATCATAAATTTACCCTTAATCAGTTGCTTATTGCTATAGCCTCTTAAGTAGATGATGATTGGATCAGATGTTTTGACATTGAAAGTCGTGGGGTTCTACTGTCTTCTTGGTTCTGGATAGTTGTGCAGCCATCTGATGTTCATTTAGTCCTTGGTAGAGGTTGTCCCTTCATCTATGAGCTTATTTATTAGCATAAACTTTACTTGAACTTCACAAAATCATAATTATTAATTTGGTCTATTATCTGTAACTCTCCGTGATTTTTCTACCATTCTCTTAAACTTACACTATCAGCCTATCTTGACTTTTTTTATTACTCCATAGAGACCCCCTTATTAGATTACAATGATGCATTGATGCCCTTATTGAACTCTATCGTTTTAACAAAAATTCCAAAAATAGGCTCATTCATTTACTCAAATTAAGCCATTAGGCTGTGTTTGATTTGAAGGAAAAAGTAGGGAAAGGAAGGGAAAGGCAGGGAAACCTTTATAAACTTTGTATAGGTTTCCTTACCTTTTTCTTCAAACCAAACATAGCATTAGTGTTTGAGTCAACCCCATAACTCAAGACCGAAGATTGAAGATAGTGATTGATGAAGACTGAAGGCATTGCATGATGATAGATAAGTGACACTTCATAGGGAGGTGAAGAGGAAAGAAAGTGGGGTGGGGGGGGGGGATGTCCGCACAAAGTTGGTCCACGTGAGAGTGAACTCAAAGGATTGGGGAAGGGGAGACGGGCGAAAGGACCAAGAGGTTGTTTGTAGAGGCAATCGTTGGAAATGTCTGGTCTAGGGAGGATGAAGCAGAAGTTAGAACTGGAAATCAAGGTCTCTACATGAAGGTCAGAAGGTGGGAGAGTTGGATAAAGGGAAAGGTTAAACTTTTTGAAGGCCATCTAAGTAGGAGTAGTGGAATCTACAAAATCTTTAGAAGACTTAAGAGCATGGGCAGTGTGGAGATGGGGAACAAAAGGAGGTCTGAGGCAATCAAGTTACCAAATGAAAGGTTTCTCTTCATTTTCCCAAATGAAGAGGAAGCCAGAAGTGTTTGGATTTCAGGGAGCAGGAATGTAGATGGTGAGTAGCTATGCCTAGACTGCCTAGTACCGTGAAATGTAGCTTGCTTGTACTGGAATGGAGAGGTAAGGAAGGCCTATTGGGTTTGCATCTTTGGCTTGCTTTTACATCTATGGAATGCTAAGGTGATTGAGAAGATTGGTAACCTCTATGGAGGTTATTTGAATACTGAAAACTCCACTAGTATTAGAGAGACAACGGAGTAGATTTGTATTCAGGTGAAGTGGCAAGGTCACCCTCTGACACATTTGAATTGTTAGTAAGGCTGCGTTTGGAAATGATGCAAATAAGTGCGAATGTAAATATGTAGAGTGTAAAACGGTTTATATAAGTTGCAAAATTGGGTTAGTTTTGCACTAACAAATTTACCTTCTTATCAAACAGACTTTTAGTTGTGATGGATGCAAACATGAATTCCAGTATATGTTTTTTTTTTTATCAAAAGCCCACTTGAATGCAGATTTACTTCTTTTTTATTGATGCACTTTTACATCGTATTATCAATGTAAATATGCATTGGTCTGTCATTTGTCAATGCATAAATGTAATGTTGCTAGACACAGGTAAAAGTGAATGAGAGTGCATACCTTGCACCGGGATGGGATTTACACTCCATTTGCATCGTTTCCAAATGCAACTTCAAGAGAGGTTGGATTTGAGACTTTCAAATTTCAAATGAAGAGGACTTTTTTTGAAAGAGTGATGTGTACTTGGTATGGAGAGATTGGGCTAGTTGGGTCTTGGGTGGGAGAAGTTAGGGCAAAGGGGAAGTGAACTGCAAAAAGATGCTCATCGGTTGGTTGTGGGGTGACAAAAAGTCTCGTTTGAGGGGGCGAGCTCAACACAGGAAGGACCACTACGACCCAAGTGAAAGGGCCAATTGAGGTCATGCCACTTGTTAGCTCAACCCATTTCTCTATTGAGCCTTTTTTGAACCCAGCCAGACCTAGGAGAAAATGGGTTCAATAAAGTCTGCCTTAAAACCTCTAGTTGAACTCCTCACGTCACCAAATGTTTCCTTAGTCGAAAGGGATCTTGAGTTGGGCTTCAAGAGGAAGGACAACTTCAAATGTAGTCGGTGGATCTTATTGAGGCCATTGAATGCCCTTTAACTAGGTGTGATAAAAAAAGGTTAGATGACCAGGAGACTTAATAGATGGAGAAGTTGGGATGGCTCTCACGAATCAGAAATGGTGGTGGTTGTGCAAGGGAATGACAAAGGTTCATTGGAAGCTTTAGAGGAGTTACCGGATGTGAGCCTTATTGCCTTTTTTATCGGTAGAGGAATAGGTGATGGTTAGTGAGGTCTCTATCTCAACTCTGAGGAAAATAGGTACGGTTGAAGGGCCAACGATATCACTTGAGGGTAGAAGCTATGTTAAGGAACCTTCTACTTGGGTTTTCTTAAATCTTTATGGAGTTTGGGGCTTTCTTGAGGGTATCTTTAAAAAGTATGGAGGGGTTAACAAAGGTGTACTAATGGAGGTTGAGAATAGGGTGTTAGAAGAGAGAGGAAGAAAGGGGAGGATAATAGAGAGGGAATTGTTGAGGCTCTCTTGAGGCCTCAATGACAATGGGGGTGAAGAAAGGGCTAGGGCAGCACACCAAAACCTTTATCTTTTTAAATAAAGTTAAGTATCTTGGAATACTAGAGGCTAAATTCATGCCAAAGGAGTGTAGTGGTGGGATCATATTTAAATTCATGGAATCTGGATATTCTTTATCTTCAAGAAGCCCAAATGGAGGTAATGGAAGTTTAGACAATAAGGGATGTCTAGGGAGATGTGATTGTGACTGGGAGTTTCTTCCAATTATTAGCACAACAAGAGGCATGGTGGTGATTTGGGACGTAAATTTAGTAGAGGCAAAGGGTAAGAAGGTGGGGTAGTTCTTAGTCTTAATTTTGTTTCAAACCTTGGAAAAAGGTTGGGAGTTTGTTTTATCCTTAGTTTATGGTCCAAATGATAATAGGTGTAGGGCTGATTTTTTGGGTTGAACTAGATGCAACAAAAGAGGACTAAGACAAACTGTGGGTGATAGAAAGAGATTTCAATATTGTTCGCTTCAATTATGAGAAAAAAAGGAGGTAACAGAACAAGTAGAGGAATTAGGGGTTTTGTAGGTTTTATGGGAAGGTGCAAATTGGTGGATCTACCTTTGTTGGGTGCGAAATACACTTGGACAAACAATCAAGAGGGAGCAACCCTGATAAAATAGGACCTGTTTATGGTGTCTATACAATGGGAAGAGAAGTTCCTCGACCTTTCTCTTGAGGCTTTGTTAAGACCTTTATCTGATCACACCCTCATTTGACTAGACTGCAGTAGTTTATAACCTAAGATTTCACCCTTTAGGTTTGAAAATTTGTAGTTGAAAGAGAAAGGCTTTGTGGATCAGTTAAGGTGGTGGGAAGATTTGCATGTGAAAGGGCCATCCAGCCATGTGATCAGTAAAACGTTGAAATGCTTAAAGGGGCAAATAAAAATCTGGGAACAAAAAGAAACATTTAAAGGGGTAAACCATAAGAAAAAGTTTTGTCTAGAAACAATTTTAAAAATTGACAAAGTATAGGAAGAAAGGCAACTTTCACAAGAGGAGAAGAGGATAAGATTGGATGCAAAGTTGGAGTTTGATAAAAATTGCTTTTCAAGAGACAATTTAGTGGAGGCAATGCTTGAAGTGTTTCTGGCTGAAGGAAGGAGATAGAAACACGAAGTTCTACAAAATGACCAATAATCAAGAGGTTGATAGTGAATAGGGAAGTGGTCAAGAGCAAGGTCAAGGATCATATTTTGAGCTTTTATGAAAATCTATATGGACTAGGTAGACAAACCCAATTTATTTGGTGAGCTTGATTTTGATACCATTTCAAAGGAGCAAGCTAGAGGTTTAGAGAGGGATTTCAAGGAAGAGGAGGTATGGGATGCAATTAAAGAGATGGAAGGAGACAAGACTTCGGGTCTGGATGGCTTCACTGTATCTTTTTTTAAACAATGCTAAAATTTCACAAAGGGAGACATCTTGCGAGTATTAGAGGAATTTCATCATTCAACAACACTTCAAAAAGCCTGAGTTCAACTTTTATCATTCTCATTCCAAAAAAGAAAGGGGTTGAAGAGCTCAAGGATTATAGGCCAATAAGCTTGACAGGTAGTATTTACAAAATACTTGCAAAAGTTTTAAGAAGGGGACTAAAATCGATGTTGCAGAGCATAATTTCGTATGATTAAGTAGCTTTCGTAAAAGGACAACTTATGGTGGATGTGGTGTTTGGTAGCAAACAAGTTAATTAACTCTAAGCTAAGGAGTCAAAGGATTGACTTATCATGTGAAGTCGATTTTTAGAAGGCCTGCTATCATGTAAATTGGCACTTCTTGAACTATGTTCTTAAAAGATTCAATTTTGGTACAAAATGTAGAAACTAAA